CTGCCACACGAGTTGCTGAACTCAAAGTCAACACCCACTTGCTTAGGGTTGACTGAATCAACGCTCCATGAAGAAATGGGTCCAAAAGAGGCTTGGAGGCTAACTCAGGAGGGTTATGGGGAGGAGGGAGACAGGCTCCCTAACTTGAGAAGAAACCTGCCCCCCACTTCCCACTGCACTCCATGTAGAGAGGCTATGGACCATCTCCCCAGAAAATGTGCCTGGACATATAAACCTCACATTCTTGTACACAATTTGAGGGGGCTCACAGACTCCTCCAGCCTACCCTGGGACCTCCCTAGAAAGTCAAGAACTTCCTACTGAGAACCTTCTTCTACTGAAACCCAACTCTCAAGGAGAGCAGCTGGAACACAGTGGCAGCATCAGACTAGGCCAGCTTTCCTCAGTCCTCTCCAGGGAACTGGTCTGATGAGCTCTTCTTGGATCACTCAGTGGACTTCAGGGAGGCCACACTCTCCTGGTCTTCTGACCACTGCTCTGCCTATAATTTGAGAGAGGGAGAGAAATGGAGACCCCAGCTTCATCTGCCTAGCACTCCCCCTGGGGAAACAGACCTTCCCATCCCCACTCAGAGGTCACGCCACAGAACCCTCCCCTCCCCCCAGCCACAGCTGTCCCAAGCTGGGTCAGCCACAGTTCCTTCCCTGGGGATTCTGGAACTGAGACCAGCAGGAAGGCATGGTTGTGTTTAGTGGCTGTGCTGCATCTCACCACAGGGCCAGCAAGCAGAGAAGCAGGGTCCTAGTGAAAAGCAAAAGACAGGAGGGGGTCAGGAGGGGAGGCAGAGAGCATGCTGGTTATAAGCAGTAAGTCCCAGTTCCCACCACTTCCAGAGGCCCTGCCACACCCCTGCTCTTGGGTTCTAGGACAGCACCCAAACTTTCTCAGTCTATCTACATTGCACAGAAACTACTTCAAGCAGGTTGGGCATGCTCCAAGTTCAGGTCTTTCCTGAATCTTCCTTTCCCTTGAAAAACTTAGCAACTCATGCTTGAGTTTCAAGTAATAACGCTGGGTTTTGTTTTTGTTTTTGTTTTTTTTGAAACAGAGTCTCACTCTGTCACCCAGGCTTGAATGCAATGGCACGATCTCAGCTCACTGCAACCTCCACCTCCTGGGTTCAAGTGATTCTCCTGCCTCAGCCTCCCTAGCAACTGGGATTACATGTGCGCACCACCACACCTGGCTAATTTTTCTATTTTTAGTAGAGACAGGGTTTCACCATTGGCCAGGCTGATCTTGAACTCCTGACCTCTGGTGATCCGCCGGCCTCAGTCTCCCAAAGTGCTGGGATTACAGGCATGATAACGAATGATAATGCTCTGTTAATAAAATATCAGGTCTCTATTCCCAACTTCTTGCTCGCTCTTCCTTTCTCACATAGGACATTTTGCTATTATTTCAAACTTAACACATCTAAGAACCGAACATCCTGCCCTCCTAAAATTGGTTTGTGCTTGAGGGAAGTCATCTGAAGACTTGAGCAGTGGCTGCATATTACAATCACCTAGACACTTTTAAAAAATACTGATCCAAGCTGGGCACACTGGCTCACGCCTGTAATCCCATCACTTTGGGAAGCCAAGGTGAAAGGATTACCTGAGCCCAGGAGTTCCAGACCAGCCTGGGCAAAACATAGTGAGACCGCGTCTCTACAAAAAATTATTTAAAAATTAGTCAGGTGTGGTGGTGCACACCTGCAGTCCCAGCTACTAAGGAGGCTGAGGAGGGAGGATCACTTGAGCCCCGGAGGTCAAGGCTGCAGTGAGCTATGATTGTGCCACTGCACTTCAGCCTGGGCAACAGAGCTAGACCCTGTCTCAAAAACATAAATAAAAAGAAAATACTGATCTAAGGCTTCAGAGAACAACTGAATCAAATCTCTCTGGGTGTAGTCTAGGCCTTTGAAAGTTCCCCAGATGGTTCTAATGTGCAGCCTGGTAGAGAATCATTGAACAATCCAGCACTATCAGTCTCTAATCCCAGCTCACAGCAAACACACATCACAGATCAATTTCTTTCCTTCAGAGCAAAGCAGCAGCCCCAGAATCCTTTCCACCATGGCCATCATACAATCAATCAGACTTGGCATGAGAGATGAAACTTACCCACTAACCTGGACTAGATGGAAATGGTTCTAGGATATACTGTCATACATTTTAGAATCCAGCCTACAAGAAAATGCTTGGATTAAGTGTGGCCCTGGACCCCATTAGGCTCAAACAAATGCTTGTTTTCTCAGGTCTGAGTTTAATGAGGTGCCAATGAGAAAAACTTTTCATCTGGCTTAGGATTCTAGGGACTTGGGTCTTGCTCCTACTATGAAAAGGAAGGGGGTGGGGTGGGAAGCATTTGTATGTGTTCCCTTTTTTCCTCTCTGATTACCCCCCAAAGAGCTTTCAAATAATCTGCTAAGTATTGAAGTACTGAAGTCATAAGCGAGTTGCAAAAAATCGGCTTACTGGAACAACAGGAAAGACATTCTTTTGCTTTTCAAAGGCTTTCCCATCATCTAGAGCCAAAAATATTATCTTCTGACCCAAAAAGCCACTAATAAACCTTGTTTCTATAGGCTAAGCAAAAGAGAAGATTTTGCCCTCAGCAAAACGGCAGGGAGAGCAAGACTGTGTTCTGGTTCCCCCCACCCTCACTTCTGCCCTCTTCTACCTCCTGCCCTCCTCCACCTCCAGGTATCTCCCAACTGCCTTCAAGTTGCCTGGGGTCTTACGAGCTGCCCCCACTCCCATGGGCTCCCTTTCTCCCTAAGAGCACCCTGTCCCCATGTTAAAACCCTCTTCATTCCCTTCCAAACTCCTTCCAAATCCCAGCTAGCTGTTAGAGACAGCCTCTAAGCAGCATAGTCTCAGCACTCACCCTCTCTTTGTAACCTTGTTTATGCACAGAATGCTGTTTCCTTTCCATCTAGTGAGGAGTTTGGGAGTGAGAAAGGCTTCCTTATGGGGACACATAGAGAAAGTTAGCAACAGAACCCCCTGTGTAACTTGGGGCCATTTGCTCCCCTGATGTACCAGTAAAAAGTTAGATTAACAGTACTGTATTTTTTTGCTACTGATCCACTGAAAAGCTAAAATAAAAAGTTAAAACAGTAAGCTTCAGTTATGAAGACAATTCACTTGTGTGAGCCTTGTTCCCCTAAATGCAAGATTAATAAAAATGGGAGATGTCATGTACTATATTTAAATTTAAAAAGATGAGGCTGTTGTCTGAAATTAACTGCTAAATGGCAGTGGGGGGGGGTATGGAGGCATATTTTTGAACTCTTCGTCAACTCCCTGTCTCAAAAGACTTTAACCCACTATCCCACTGAAAACCTTAAAGAGAAAAAAAGGGTCTCCTTTTCTGAAGTTTGCTGAACTAACCCAGGCTTCTGTGGCTTACCTCGAAGGGATCACACACAACAGGAGGTGAACAGCCTCCCTGCCCTCCCAACAGCAAAACATCTCTGCCTGTGACAGGAAGGCTCAGCACCTTCCTCCTTCGGGACTCTTCACAAGCCTCACCAGCCACCAATGACTAAACCAGTGTTTGTTATTCATTAATACGCAGTAGCATGCCATGTCTGCGAGGACAGAGCCCAAGATCACAGGGATTGTGTTTTTAAAACGCGATACAATTGTAGCTGGAAGAACTCCAATCATGATCTCCTTCTCAAGATACCAGATTAAGAGATGGACAAGACAACCTAGAGGCCACAAACCCGTCCCTGTTCACCAAGTTTTCCCTGCCCTTGCTGGCCGCTCCTCCTCCCCTGCGTGTCCCCTCAATGCTGGAGCCCCTACAGGCTCTAGCCTAGGCCCACTTCTCATCATCCGCCATATTCTCTCCTTGGGAGACCCTGTCTGCCAATAATGGAACTAAGCAACAACCACCAGTGGATGCTAAAACCACTTAGGTGAAAGACTGACAGGGGATTTCTATAATGGAGGGATCAACTGATACCACCGAAACCCACCAATCAATCCTAGAATCTCTAAATGTGTGGCAGCCAGACACCATGTGCCTGTTGATGCCACACAGTAGGGAGTACACAGCACCAGCTCTGAGGTGTTCGCACCAAGTAACCTGACTGGAATGGAATCAGGCCTTTAGATGGAACTCCTGTTGATAGGAAACACAGAGAACACAGAAACACGTTAAATGACACCACAGAGAAGCAATTAGCCAATTCCTGGGATGGAGGTATCCCGCATGACAAATGGCCTGCTTTCTCCAACGACTCAATGTCATGAGCAAACAGGAGTGGGCAAGAAAGTGGGTAGAAGGAGGGTGTATAGTTATAAAGACACTTACAGAAGAAGAGTCAAAACAACAAAAAAGCCAGTTTGACCATGTCATTCACATACTTAAAACCCTCTAGCCCCTGCCCACACCTCTGGCTGCACCTCTCATCCTGCCCCTTTGTGCTCTGGCCACAGTCACTTTCATTTGGTTCCCTGACCTAGCCCCTTCCTTTATTCTGAGTCCCTTGCATGTGTAATGCCCTCTCCCTGGAATGTCGGCCCTGTCCCTTGCCTACTTCGCCTGGCAGAAGCCTGCTCATTCCTTCAGCCTCAGCTCAAACACTGTCTCCTCAGCAGGGCCACAGCCCAGGGTAAGATCAGGTCTCTCCCCCTCATTACATATCCTCGCTGTACTCTGCACTTCTCATGGGAGTACATGGGGGTATGTTTTGTTATCTGCCTTCTCTCCCAAGGACTAGATGCTCCTCAAGGGCAGACACTACATCTTTCAGCAGAGTCTGAAATGTAGTAGGCACTAAATAAAAATCTGCTTAAATGGGTACATGAACAAATAAAGTATTAGCTATGTGGTTCAACCCACCAGGTGGGAATTCAGGGGCACACTAAATCACGAACGCCCAGAGTAGACTCCGTGGATCTTAGTCGTGGTGACATCTACTGTTAGTACTCAGAACCCAGCCTGGCACTCAGAGCTGAGGCTCCCAAGGAAAAACTCACCGCCTCGTAAGACTTGGGAATGGGTACAATGATGGCCAGCACGCAGATGAGCTGGAAGACGGCTCCCAGGAAGAGTCCATACCGTAGCAGGTCCTCCAGGAAAGTGGGCTCCGGCACCTCTGGAGGTGAGAAGTCCAGGTCAGATGCCATGGCCAAGCTGCTTGCTGCGTGGGGTCTCTTCTAACTCACCACTCTTCAGAGCCACCTTGTAAATGCAAAGGGTCAGTGTCATATTTCTGTAACTGACGCTCATTCATTCTTTATGGAGTCTCACTCTATTGCCCAGGCTGGAGGGCAATGGCATGATCTTGGCTCACTGCAACTTCCGCCTCCTGGGTTCAAGCAATTCTCTTGCCTCAGCCTCCTGAGTAGCTGAGATTACTGGCATGGGCCATCACACCCAGCTGGTTTTTATATTTTTAGTAGAGAGACAGTTTTACCATGTTGGCCAGGCTGATCTCAAACTCCTGACCTCAGTTGATCTGCCCGCCTCAGCCTCCCAAAGTGCTGGGATTACAGGTGTGAGCCACCACACCCAGCCTGTAACTGACTTTTAACTTGAACAACACACACACACACACCCCCAAGAATATATGCAGGAATTGTGAGATATTAACAATTCTTGACCTAAGTTGGGGATGTATGGTTAGTCACTGAACCATTCTTTCAACTTTTCTGTATGTTTAATGTTTTCCAAACATAAAATTGAGAAAAATAAATAAATGCAAAGGGAAGCACTTCAACAAAAATCTCAAATCAACATACATTTACTGAAAGCTTGCTACACTTCAGTTTTTGTTGTTTATTTATTCATCTAGTCATTCATTCAACAAATAATCTTGAATACCAAGCACTGAAGAATGAGCAAAACAGACAAAACCCTGCTTTCTTGGGGCCTACATGTTCAGGATGGAGGCTGACAATAAGCACATCAAGGCATGATATGCCAGGCAGCGATAAGCATTTTCAAAAAACTTCAGGGCACCATTTTATTTTGTGACAAGAAGGGCCTCTTTGACGAACAGAGATGGGAATGGAGTGGAAGAGATAAGGAGTGAGAGTGAGCCATTTGTGTATCTGTGGGACACATGTTCCAGGCAGGGAGAAAAGCAAGTGTGGAGGCCCCAGGGCAGGGAAACGAGGCCAATACAGGCAGAGAGAAGTGATCAAGAGGGAGGGTAGAAGGAGGTAAGATCAGAGAAGAGTGGGGGTGGACACTTTCACCTCCAATTTGACTGAGTAAAATGTTTTTTTTTTTTTTTTTTTTGAGACGGAGTTTCGCTCTTGTTACCCAGGCTGGAGTGCAATGGCGTGATCTCGGCTCACCGCAACCTCCGCCTCCTGGGTTCAGGCAATTCTCCTGCCTCAGCCTCCTGAGTAGGTGGGATTACAGGCACGTGCCACCATGTCCAGCTAATGTTTTGTAGTTTTAGTAGAGGCGGGGTTTCACCATGTTGACCAGGATGGTCTCGATCTCTTGACCTCGTGATCCACCCGCCTCGGCATCCCAAAGTGCTGGGATTACAGGCTTGAGCCACCGCGCCCGGCCCTGACTGAGTAAAATGTAAAGCCACCAAAACATTTTGAGCAGAAAAGTGACATGGTCTGACTTCCATTTTTAAATGGAGGAGGGACAAGGGGAGGAGGAAAAGTGGACACAGGGAGAGCCAGGAAGAGCCCCTGCCAATAAGCCAGACAACAGCTGCTGATGGCGTGAATGACAGGGGCAGCAGTGGCCAGTGGTGCAAGGTCCAGCCTCAGCCTAGCTCTCTAGCCTCTCCTCTTGGCAGGGCCCCCCACTCCTAATATCCTGGTCGAGCTGAAAGAACTGCCGTGGTTCTCCAAGAGCACTGGGCTCTTTCAAAATCCTGGGCCTCTGCCCAAGCTGCATACACTGCAAAGAATGTCCTTTCCCATTTTGACTGCTTGACAAAGCCCCCACTCTACCTCTAAGGCTGAGCTCAAGTGTCACCTCCTCAACATGCCTTTCCTGTCACCCTCCTCCTCCCCTGGCATGACTGAACTGCTCCCCCTGTACCACAGCACCCACCAGTGGCTTTCTTCTGCCCATCCCAATGATAAAGAGGCAAGTTTACTTTGGAACCAGGCCCACCTGAATCCAAAACCCTTTGTGTTTCCAGAGATCTGTGCCACAATGCAACATTTTTTTTTTTTTTTTTTTTTTTTAAAGATGGGGTTTCACCGTGATGGCCAGGCTGGTCTTGAACTCCTGACCTCAGTTGATCCACCCACCTCGGCCTCCCAAAGTGCCAGAATTACAGGCATGAGCCACCACGCCTGGCCTAATGCAACTTTTTACTAAATTTGAGCTATCCAATTTGGTGGCCATGAGCCACACATGTCTATTAAGACTTGAAATGCAGCTAGTTTGAATTGAGATGCTAAGTTAATTAATTACACACCCAATTTCAAAGACTTAGTATGAAAATAAGAAAGTAGTCTATCTCATTCATAAGGTTTTTATATTGATTACATGTTGAAATGATTGCAGTGGCTCACACCTGTAATCCCAGCACTTTGGGAGGCCATGGCGGGCAGATCACTTGAGCTCAGGAGTTTGACACCAGCCTGGGCAACATAGCGAGATCCTATCTCTACAGAAAAAATAATAAATTAGCCAGGAGTGATGGTGCATTCCTGTATTCCCAGCTACTCCAGAGGCTGAGGTGGGAGGATCATTTGAGCCCAGGAGGTCATAAAGTCAGTGAGCCATGATTATGCCACTGGCACTCCAGCCTGGGTGACAGAGAGAGACCTTCGCCACTACCACCCAGCCACCAAAAAAATACACATAAAAAACAACTGGCTGGACATGGTGGGTTACACCGTAAGCCCAACACTGTGGCAGGCCAAGGCAGAAGCGTCACTTAAGCCCAGTAGTTCGAAACCAGCCTGGGCAACACAGTAGGACCCTGTTGCCAAAAAAACTTTAAAAAGTAGCCAGGCATGGTGGTGTGCACCTGTAGCCCAGCTACTCAGAAGGCTGAGGCAGAATTGCTCAAGCTGGAAGATCAAGACTACAGTAGGCCAGTGAGTTGTGACTGCACCACCGTACTCCACGCTGAGTGACAAGGTGAGACCCTATTTAAAAAAAAAAAAAAAACAAATTGAAAGCAAGGACTCAGATACTAATTTCATAGCAGCATTATTCACAATAGCCAAAAGATGGAAACAAACAACAAAGAGTCCATAAACAGGAGAATGGATAAACAAAACGTAGTATATACGTAAAGTAGACTATTAGCCATATAGGAAATGAAATTTTGATATACACTACAACACAAATGAACCTTCAAAACATTATGAGCTTTGAATAAACATGTGAAATAAGCTAGACACAAAAGGACAAATATTGTATTACTGCCCTTATATGAGGTACCTGGAATAGGCAAATTCAGAGACAGAAAGTAGAACGGAGGTTACCAAGGGCTAGAGGGAAGGGAAATGGGGAGTTATTGCCTAGTGGGTACAGAGTTTCAGTTTGAAAAGTTGAAAAAGTTTTAGGAATAGGCAGTGATCATGGCTATACAACACTGTAAATGCCACTAAATTTTAAATTTAAGAATGGTTAAAATGGTAAATTTGTTACATATATTTTGTCACTATTTTTTAACAACGTTTCTTTTTACCCATTTATTTATTTAGAGACAGGGTCTCACTCTGTCACCCAGGCTGGAGTGCAATGGTGTAATCATAGCTCACTGTAGCCTCCTACTCTTAGGCTCAAGTGATCCTCCTGCCTAAGCCTCCCAAAGTTTTGGGATTACAGGCATCATCCCTTTTTGCTTTTTAAATGTGGTTAACTGGAAAATGTAAACTTATACATAGTCTGTATTATATTTCTGCGGGGCAGCCCTGGGCTAGAGACCATCCTAAAGACCTGCCTCCACCTTGGCTCTGCTGGGCTGCACTGCTTTGCACCACGTTTCTAACATGAAGTAGCCGAAGAATAACTAAGATGACCTTCGTAAGTAAACAGAGCCGGACTTACGCCAGAGTATTGCTTCCCCTTCAACCTAGTCACTTCGGAAAGTCATGTGCCTGGGGAAACAGGATGGCCACTTTTCACATCAGTTCTGTCTACTGTGGGACTGGCCTTCAAAGCTTGAGGCTTTTTCTTTTTTTCCAGAATCCTCAGAGCTGGCAGATCTTCATCCTCCCAGGAAGGATTTGACTTCTGGAAAGAGCCCAACATCATCTGGTTCCAAGGGCGGTGAATCAGGTGGCACTGAGCTCAGGAATACCATGTTTGGTCAAATGCAAGGTACGACACTCAGGCTCCAAGCAGATTACTTGGGGTGCCTCATAAACTGGCCCTGAAGTAAATTCCAAGGCAGCTGCAAGAACAGCTTCACTGAAAGAAATGTAACAGCCTCTACCAGCACCAGCACCACGGGAATACCAAGGCTTAAGAACGTGTTCTTATTTCTCCGCAGTTGCACCTCATAAAGTGTGCATTTTTTAAAATGCCCTTGACCCCAAGCTTTTTGCTTAAGGCGCTGTAACAAGCTTTATGAGCTTATAAATACTCAGATTTACTAGTGCTACTAACAGCAACACTGTGATAATAAATATTTGGAGTGGTACAACAGAAAGATGGGGCAGGAGTCAGGAAGCAGGGAACACATGCCCTGGCTCTGTCTGCGAGGAGCTGCACTTTGGGCTAATCACCTCTTGATCTCTAGACACTGGATGTTCTCATGAGCCAAGCAACAAAAAATATCTATAATACATTTCAGCTTCTTTTTAAAATGGCAATTACACAAAATATAACAAAAGCCATAAAAGTGATTATATCCTTTGACTGCATAACTTACTTCCTAGAATTTATAGTAAGGAAACAATTCAAAAGAAGAAAAAGCCTCAGGTACAAAAAAGTTCATGGCAGCACCATTCATAATACTGAAAAACAGGAAGCAACCAAAGTGGCCAACGATCAGGAAGCAGTCAACCCAACGGCGGTGCATCACGGTATAATCCCCCTTCACTAACACGGCAAACATAAGCATCGTGTATCAGGTCAGTGGAAAGTCTTTGCAAAATAACATTAATTGAAAAAAATAAGCAATTGTATAAACACTGTGATTGCAACCATCTATAAGCTGCTTTCATGGGCTAAAGATCAAAAGAGGTCACAGAAATACAAATAGTTGCTATTAAGGTGAAGAGGTCAGGAGTTTTAAT